TTTGCGGGTCCAATTGCTGGTGGTATCTGTTGCACAGGTTGTTGTGCTCCTCTTGGAGCTGGTGCCGCTGCTTGTATACCATTATGTGTGGCAACACTTGGTGGCATGCCACCATGCACATTTTGTGCAGCCATGTTTCTTGCACCAACACCATAAACTGAAATTCTTCTTCAGCGCGCCAAAGGACGTCTTTCATTTTTTCAATGTAATTTCTTTTTGCGATTGATTATTAAATAAATCAAGAAGGGTGGGTTATAGTGATAAGAGGCTCTAGATCTGTCTTAACTGTGAAATGCCACAATCGAGATATTGATTAAAGTGAAGATATGAATGCGTTTATTCATTTTTTGATACAAAAGAGAGAAAGAAAATCAGCTATTCTTTTTCGAGAATTTTCACATCATTCAGTATGAGTCATCGGTGGCAAAGATTTTACAAGAATGATAGTGAAGTACACAATATTTCAGATGAAATACGAAAAGTGATATAGATATGAATAGACTACAGTAGTATTCTTTCTTTATTTCTGATTTATAGAAAAATGTTGCTCTGGCAGACTAGTGTTACCACCAGTCCGCATATTATCGTCATCGCAACATGCATTTAATCGGGAGAGATTTTTGTTTTTTTTGTTTTTAAATTTCACGTACATTTATTTGAAAACAATAACTAAAAAATAACACATTTATAAAACAATTATTACAAAATAGCATATTGATCATATAAGATTCGTCGAACTTTATAAAATGTATCGAATAGAGTCCCTTCAAGAATGATTTTACCAGTTTCATTTCGTTTAATAGCTACTGTATCTTCACAAGTAAGTACTCCGCCAACAAATTCAGCTCGAAGACCATGTTGTCGAATAAGAATCGTTTTAAGATCAAATAATTTTGGTTCATTTATAAATACACATGCTTGAGGTGGCATCTGATCTTTAACTTCTCGTGTTACAGAATTCAAATACCATTCTATATTAACTTGATCAACAGTAGTAAATGTCGTTACTCCTGGAGGTATGGCAGATGGTGGTACACCATGGGTAATAATACCATCAACCCAAGCGACATCACCATCTCGTGTTTTTACAAATTTAATTGAACTAAGTAAACTATCTTTAA